TGACTTAGTGTAAACACCTGAGCACTTTATATAGAAAATGGAAAGAGGCATTGCCTCTAAAGAACAATGCAGAAAGCCTGGAGGCTCCTAAGGGCAGTGAGAACTCCCTTCTCACTTCACAGCAGGGTCCCCAACCACCAGGGGACAGCCTCCTGTTGATGGCACTCCCCTGGGAGAAGGGAGTCCTGGCTCCTGGTCCCTGCTGTCAGGCTTATTTTTGTTAACCAATGAATCTCTAATGCAACCTACACAGAGTCCTAGCAGGATTGGAACCTAGGACTCATCCCTGTCCATGGAAGCATAGTAACCACTGACTTGCACAGGCAGGCTCCCTCTTGCTCTCTCTATCCCATTGTTGGCTGCCAGTGGCTCAGCTTCAACGGGAGAAGGAGAGTGCCCTCACTCAGCCTTTTCTATAGCTAGGTGGTTGTAGAAGGCAGTGTGAGAACTAGGTTCAAATCCCATCACAGCTTGCAAAAGCCTGGAATGGAGGTCTCCAGCATCAGCAGAACTGTGATTGCCCAGCACTTTTTGGGTGAGTGCTCTCACCATTGTTATTTTTAGCTGAATTCAATACAGTCAGCGTGAATTAAGTGTGCTCAAAGTAGTGTTAGGGATTGGGTCCCTCCTCCCAGCATCAAACTGGACTGCAGTGGAGCTTAAGAACATCTATGTTCCTACATGATCAAACCAGTTGCTTCTACATGGAGTCTAGGTGTCTACAGAAAGTTTTAGACCAAAATGGAGGCATCGCTCAAGCCTGCTGAGTTTTGTGGCTTGCAGAGCAGGGCCAAACTGGATCATTCTTTGGAACTCAGGTGCTTAAATCCTGCCCAAGTCCTACTTAGGCACTTCTGAAGCTAGACTGGATTGGGCTCTACATTTGTATTGGGAACAGGACACCATCTATTTAAAAATTACTGACTAAAGAATAAAAGGAAAAGAGCACAGGACTCTTATAGTTGTGTTGCTCTGACAGTGTGTGTGGGGAGAGGCTTTTTAATTACAGCGGCTCCGAGAGCCATGCTAATTAAAGTGCCCAAAGCGTCACGTGTATTAGCATCCCCATGCTGAAAAATGGTGGTAGGGTGCTTTGAACTAAAGCTCATCAATTAATCAAGTCTGCTCTGACATGCTGTAATTACAGCACATAGGAACAGCCTCCCTGCACATGTATTGGCACTCTCAGTTCTGTAACACTTTTCATTTAGAGGCACCTCAGCAGAAAGATACCCTTCAGTTTAAGCTATTGCATGTTACCATTACTGAAATGGAGCTATGAAGAGAGAACATAGCTCTACAAATCACCATAAGACCAGTCAGCAAGTCTTTGCCTACTGGAGGAGATATACATACACTTAAAACTAAAATAAAATGTAGTTAGGCAAACAGTAAATTCCTAAGTTAACATATCAGCCACGATACCAGGGCTTGTAACCTCTACTGTGGAATGACATAAAATATTAACGACCACAGATAGTTCAAACCTCTCTCTGACATTTCATCAGGAAGTAGCAACTGCAACAGGACACTACATGTATGAAGCCATTATTATGACAATAAATAGGAAGAATTACACATACAAGACTTACATCTACTGAGTTACACATACCACTTCCTGCAGCACCTGTATTTGCTTTGAGCATTTCCAAGGAAGCACTGCTCTGTCCTGGCATTTTTTAATCTTCCAAGCTGTATGAGACCACAGCCCAAGAGGGGTAGTTCAGAGGAAACTGTGCTCCTTTTAACACAAGTATGCAGTTATTTTATATCTCTGCAACAAGATCCTGCATAATTCAAAAATACACTTCATGAACTCCACTTACTTGAAAACCTCAGAGACAAGGGTGGATTAATCTGATTAAGGGTGGACCCCCTGGGGCACCAGGGGCAGCATCGCCCAGGCAGGCATCCTGGCCACAGGCATCTAGAGCAGGCAGTGCGCACCTCTTGCTCTCCAGCTGGGCCAGGGTCAGGTGCTAGGGGAAGGCATGGGGCTCTGTGCAGGTGGCAGCAGCTTCCCAGGGCCCTCTGCTGCCATAAGGCACCATGGGTAGCCCCACTTCTGCTCCCTCCTGCCATAGGTGAGTGGAACAGCCCCACCCTACCGGGGCCAGCAGAGGGGTGGGTGGGCAGCAGGGGGTGGCGCAGAGCCCATGCCCCCCCCATCCCCACTAGCCGGCCCTGACCCTGGCTCATCCCGCGGCACTGGTGGACTGCAGCCCCAGTGGTGTGACACCCGCTGGATGGAGGCACCAGGCTGGGCCAGGGCTGCCTTCACCTCAGTGGCATCCACATCTCCTGGCTCACCTTGAACATGCCAAAGACGCCAGGCAGACCCAGCCGCAGCCCCCTGGCAGGTGTAGAGGGAACCTGCCCTTGCCTGGTGAAGGGCCCCCAATTTTCTGTTTGCCCAGGGCCCCAATAAATCTTAATCCATCACTGTTCAGAGGTAGTCCCTAAGTTTAAAGTGGGGAATTCTGTTTAATTGGAGAATCTTTCCAGGAGCAAGAACTTCAGGGCACCACTGAAAACAGTACTGCAGGACTTTTGCCTGGTTTTTTAGACCAGACTTTCCTATAAGTACTTGAGGCTTGGTCCCAATGACTGTAGTAAGTGAAAGGTGCTCAGCACCTCTCAGAGTCAGACCCTTGACACACAGATCCCTTCCTTTCTTCCTGAACCAGGTTTGAAAGCACATACTTTTAGGACATCTCTTTATCAGAAAAGGCCCAAATTTGATCCTCTTTCCCCAAATTACTTGATGTCAAACCATGAGATAAAAATACTGTGATTCTTTAAAATGTGCATGTTTACATATATCTTAAGGCCAAAACAGATTAAGATTTGAAACTTAAATTGCAGTTAAGTTTCCATTTCTATGAATCATAGGGATCAGCTTATTCATAACAAGCACTTCATTCTTATGTTTTAATTCTTTGAGGCTATTTTCTACTAAGGGTGGGGGGGAGGAGTATTTCTGCATAACCCAGACCACATCAGAATAAGTGGCTTACCTACTTTGCCTTTTCTACTAAATTACTCCAAAATGAAAGCAGAAAGAACAATTAATAACACCTCCTGCCATGTTTATGCAACAGTCTGAATTCCTTGTGAGCTGTAGATTGCAGTTCTGGGCTGCACTCTGGCTACTCCGGGCAGCTCCCCCAGCACCAACCAGCTCTGAGCATTGTGAGCCAGAATCCAAGAGAATTCTCTTTGTGCAGGA